ACGCCGTTGAACATATATTACAGGAATAAATAGATTGTTTGATCGTGTCAATGACTGCAGTGATTGGCTGATCGCATGTTTACTCTGCCACGCCTTAGAGACTTGACTTTTAAGAGTTTGTAACCTTTTGTATGGGAGAAGTACGAGAGAACGGCGAAGGGTTAGCTCAGCTGACTGTTTGTAATGTGCTAATGTGTATTCTTTTCGATCTAATCTAGTTAAGTTCCGAGAACACAAAGCAAGTTTTCATACTATGTATATAGTTTACGACACTTATTTAGATATATATAGTTTACAACACTTATTTAGATATATATATATAGTTTACAAACACTCGATTAATCATTCACTAGGGTATTCGACATAATGTACATATTGTCACAAACTAAGATATCAGAATGGCAGTCTTACCTGTTGTGTCGGACAGACTCAGTGTGTATGCTTCACCATTAAACATAACTGAAGTGCTATAATTATCGAATACCTTAAAATGGAATGAATGGTATTTGTTATATTTATTTGAACTTTAGTATGCAGACAAAATTCCCTAGCAATCAACACGATGCATACCATGAGCATTAATATTGGAAGTAAAATTACCTCACATGATTCAACCATGAGAAGCCTTATCAGATGAGTGGTAACAAATTGAACTGATAAGCTATAACACTGCTAAATAAAACATCGGACTTTGGTCCATTTACTGACACTGTAGCTCTCTATAATAGACGATAGTTGTCGCGCTGCGCATGTTTGGTAATTAGTATGGTTTAAAATTATAGTTGATCATGAAAAAATCCATGAATGCACAACGCGACGAGTGTTTTAACGTATACGCCAGACACTATCATAAGTCACGTACGAGTAATTATTTTATTTGTAACACGCGCAAATATACTTACAGTTGTGATATACTCTTTAATAAATGTATTCGTCGTGTATGCCTTCAGTAAACACGTTTTCCCCACAGTTCCGTCACCAATAACCACACATTCTATTTTATTCATACTGAAAACACGTGTAGCAAATAATTATATAATGTCAAACAGTCAAAGGTGCCAGCCTGTCTGCAGCATTGTTTGCCAATTATTGGATACCATTACTTACCTTCGTGTTTTCTGTCGCTATAAGTCGTATTTTCACTATTACTCGCCGGGTTTCAGCTTCAGGACTTGTTTCAGTTCAATTAACCGAATGCGAGTGTTCACACTGAAACGTTGGATGTGCTTCATGAACACCCTGTGTACAGGAGGAAGTCCACGTACTATTTGTATTTTAGTATCAGATTAAAAATTTACAGAGAGTACCACTAGTGTCCGTTAATGACTATAGTTTACATAATTAGAGAACACGTTATATTATACCACGTGTTGCACGACCTTGTCCAGCAACAATTGTCGAACTGTACAGATTGGTTGCACAGCTGTATTGGTTAGTATATGTTTACATTACATAAACAAACTTTATAAATTGGGTAGACTTGTGCGTCTATTATTTGTTTATCTAATAATTTAATAAATTATTTAAACACACTATTACTTTTAAATATTTGCAACTTTTCAAATGCCGTGTTCATTACTTGTCTAGACAATTTACATTGACTGTTTTTAGAGGGTGTTGGAAAGATGATTTAACATACTGTCTCAATAAATAAATGGAACTATGCTTTATTATAATTGCTTAAATATATGTTCCTTTTCTATAGGCTTTAGAAAAATTAATGTCGAATACGTGTTCCTGAAAACCAATGCTTTTAACTGATTCACCCATATCCTCAAAATGCACCGTTATAGGTTCTCTATATACACATTGAAGCGAACATTAGTTCCAGCCGTCTGCTGTGCGTATTTGAATCAGTGCCTTATCTGAGCTATTTTTTTATTTCTTAACAGACCCATTACGTCAAATACTGAAAACCCATAGTTTTGAAATAACGTGTAGTTAATCTGCTCTTACAAAGACTCGTTTAAAGATAGACAGTACCCTCATAACGATGTTTCAATGTTTACGTAATCACTTTTGACTTCAGCCAAGCAATATTATACGCGTCTCTCGTACACTGTAACATCAGGATACTTCATTTCCCGTTTTGTAAGCGCGTCGATAGGTTCCTGTTTCAACACGGTAAGTAATATTTCGTTGCTCAAAGCAATTCGAATCCCCGACTTCGCAACTTTTCGAATTCTGCACACAAATAAAGTCTTGTATAATCATGGTCACGTGCCTTCCAAACACACAGTATTCAAGAGACTGCTTCGCATCGTCCGAATCGCACGGCTTAGCTGAAGCTGATCATTCATAACCGGTTCACGAACATTCGTGTTAGGAAAAGCTGTACTCACTGCAGTTAAATCGAGTCATTTACTTGGGCGCGCCAAGTAGCTTGTACCATAAATCAGCGTTGCTGTATCATAAATAATAATAATATTGTAATTTTGTATTCATTTCAAAATGGTTAAAGCGGGATAACAACACACGCTAAAAATGCATGGGCATCTGTGGCTGGTGTTAACAAGGTTTTCCACGATGAGAAAGCTCATTATAATGCTGGTGAGTGGCGTTTTGACAACTTTAGAAAAACAATGCCCCACACCGCGTCAGCTAAGACAAAGGATCGCCAATCCGCGAATTCTCCAGAACATTACGCAGCAAGTTTCTACTCATCGAATGAGTTAAAATTCGACGACTTGACATTAGAACAATTTTTGCTGTTGTTGCAACATCCAAATTTGTCTGTTCAAGAACGTAATGGCAGACTACAAATCCTTCACGACAGTATAAATGGCAAGTTGTACGGAGCTACCATGCCGCTGTCACTCGTCTGGTTGAATCACGCTATCGATCATGGAGCGATTCCTTTTTTTTAAAGAAGTCTTCTTTGATTTTTCACCGGAAAAATTGAAATCCAACACCTGCCATAAAAGCAAATTGACTGGTATGAACATTGCAAGTAGTAGTAATGGAGATGTCCTGGTCTGCTCTGCCTTTATCGAAGCAGGGTTGTGTTCCTTTGATCCCTGCAAGTACCACACTTAGAGTAGGGTAATGAACCATCTAACTCAACATGACTGAGCCATTAGGCGAGCGGTGGATACCAAAATAAGTCATTATTTTTCGAGTTTAATACACCCCTCATACACATTCACACAACATATATCATTTTAAAGTAAATTTTATCAGCTTTCAGAAAAGTTCTGTTGTGGTTTTGAAATATGGTACCGTTTTCCAGAAAAGTTAAATGATGTTGGTAAAAAATCTCCGTTTTACACGTAAAATGCTGTAAATTGTTTGGTTTGATGTGATTTATGTGAAACAAACATTAGATTTTTGAAATAATCTATTATGGTGAATAAAGTGACAACTACAGTGACAAATAAATACAAATTTGCATATATTTGCATAATTAATAATGCCTGATATGGGCTGCAACAGTTCCCACTTACAAAGTAAACAACACATTTGAGTAGTTTTATCAACATTGGTTCATAAATAATTTGAACAACAAAACTAAACATTGTGGAATATCAATAACATTGAAATTGTAATACATGATATATCATTATTATATGCATACAAATTTTACAAAGGTACAAAATAGTTGCAGGGTCATTATGCAGTTATGAAAGCAAAACTCAATACTGATTGTTAAATACAAAATTGGTTGTACAGCTTTTGTTAGTACAGTCTCATCACAATTGTATGAAAACAATCAGAGGCCTGCACCACTTATATCACGAATGTTAAAATTAAACTAATTTGTAAATCTATGTTTTCGTGAAACAAAGTAACAAATGAGTTTTATTGGTTATTAAATTCCAGTCAAATAACACAAATTATAGCCTAGCATAAACAGTGTGACATGTCTCATACTGACCTCGCAATCAAAATTATAACTAATGCGATCATTGAATACAGTGAAACAACATATACTGTAGTATACTACGTGTGTCATAAATAAAGGATTTCCTGATATGTCTCTTTGGATTTCAATTCTCTCATATTTAACCCCAACTTTTGTTTTTCCAAGTCACAGACAGGAAAGATATATTGACAACTATGCATTAAAACCGCTGAGATCAATCACATCATGCTCGTTTCAATATGGTGAGATATTATATACAATTTTCTCAAGCATCTGTAATGTCATCATCTGAGTCACCATAGTCAGCTATAACATTTTCACATCTATCACTAGCATTGCATGGACACAGTTCTGTACAGGCTAGACCACTTTGTGTACAGGTACATTCTACTACACAAGTGCTTCTAGTCTTGGAACACGAGCAGAGCAGATCATCTATCATCTCTGCTGCAGATGGCCCGTAAAAATATGGGTAAAATGCATCTAGTTTCCTCACTCGTCTGCCATCCATATCCAACAGGAGATACAACATGCTGCTCAAAGCTAGGTTCGCTTGGTGGTAGTTTGTTGAGTGAATGAATGAAATAATGTATCAGTAAAACCATTACATCTGTATCGGATATACTTTGTTTCTTTGGAAAACTGAATCAGCATGCATAGCATGCAACAGCATCCTAGTGTCTGCGTCCTCGTGACTGAAAAAAGGTGAAATGTGTACATTTGTCATTCAAACATTTGGTGACAGTGTCATCAGTAAAACCTCCAGCCAGATATGCGGTGTGTTGCGGATTCTCATTAAGATGATTTAAGGTAGAGATGCAGTTTATTTGGCTTGCTTTTTAATTGAATAATTAGACAATGAAGATGGTATTATATATCCAACATGTTATATATTTTCTGAAAGCTTATTATACAAACTTTGTAAAACTT